GACTGTAATAAATCTGGAATTGTGGGCTAACATGATTGGGTAATCAGCATTGCCATAGTTCTATAAACATTTAAGGCAATCTTGAGTGAATCTGAGGGAGAGGACTCTGACTGCACACCAATGGGCAAAGGGCTGTGGGTCTCCTCGTCGTTAGTCCTTGTTGAAAGTATGAAGATTTTTTCCTTGATGCCGTCTGCCTTCTGAACAGGGAATGTCGACTCATGGATCAGAACAATGTGAGAGTCAAATAGTGCTCTAAGTATGATATTACTCATGTGCTCATTTGAAAATGCTTCTGGTCCTTTTGGGTAACGCGGGCAACTGTGCCAGAAACTATTTTCAATGGTGCTGGTCTGCCTTCGAGAGTGCAAATTCCATGGTCTGAATCCCAAAGCGCGATAATGTCAGATCTTCTATATAACCAAGGCATCTGGTCCACGTCCTGCAATGAGTCGCTCTCTTTACGGCTTTGCCAAGAGAGTGCAACGAGGAGTCTCTTCCGTTGCAATTTCTTGGCCATCGAGCGGTGCACAACCACGGTTGAGCATGATGCTAAAGAAATGTTTCCCGCACTACCCGGGAAAATTTGAACAACGGCTTTTCAGCTCTGAATCAGCAGCATCAATTACCGTATAATATTATTATGAAATATGTCAATTACTTTGAGTAGTTTTAAACTGGTCATCACTGGTGCCCTTAACAAAGTCATGGAAAATTCCAGAAAATGATATTTACCTGAATTCATACTTTTCAACGTCCTCGATGTCCTGCAGACATTCGCGATACTTTGTGTACGTGGACTGAAAGAAAAAATGACTTCAGCGACAAGAGCGTTTCAGCAATCGCTGAAAATTACCAGAAAGTACGAGTACATTGTGGACAACGATGTTCGGTAGAAGGCGACGCATGACGCTGCCTCGTTCATCCTTGGGTCCTTTCGCTTTCCCCAGCCCTGCGAGAAGGTAAGCTGACAAAATCCTTGGCTGACCAGAATGGCGAACACTAAAACGAACTTCAGCGCGGGCACAGCGATTGGCGACATCTAAATCAAAAATCGACCAGTGATGGTGGTTGAGTTGTTTAAGCAATCAGTCTTAGCATATTTCTCGCACCGTGCTTTTTCCTTCGGCAGAGGTGACGGTGACAAACGGCGCGTGTATGTCGGACTGAGTTCGAGAATGTATCCGGCGATGATCGAACTGTGCACACAAGTACAGCCGACTTCGCCGCTAGCTTTTATACATACGACGGCGACCAATCACTAGCGACGTCGCTACAGAATCTGCGCGTT